GTCACCACTCATTTCTTTTTTCATTTCCTACCTCCATTGAATCTCACCACTTTCTCTCTTTATCTTCTTTGTCCCCATGAGGCACAAAATAACAAATGTCCACTTTTTTCCTTCGTCCACAGGAATTCACCTAATAGATTTGAGCCAAATACGGATAAGCACAAGTTCAACTTCATATAATTCCAAAACCCATTTGCTCACTTTATGTTTTTATATATATCAACCAAAGACAAGGTACTATGTCATATATAACACACTCCATGAACCTATACCAATATTTCATTTTTCAACTTCTTTTGATGACTGACATAAGATATTTTGTTTTTCCTCAAAAATGAAAAAAAGGAAGAAACCGTTACCATGATGACTCTTTTCATATAATACAGGGATATGGTTTATTTAAAATTAAAAAGCAAAACATGCAACTAGTCATACACCCTTCACAGATACCTTTCAATAGCTGATGTGGCCATCTCAAAGCAAATGGGAATTCTTTATTTCAATAAATTATCTAACCATTCATTTAATCTTTATGCATATGAACACAAAGCAGGTAGTTTCCAAAACCGTAATCACAGAAAAAACAAGAACTGCTGACTTTTTTTTTTCATATAAAAAATTCAGGTTATCTTCATGGGTACATATAAAAACGAGCTTTTCATGTTTTCTTACTATAACTCAGTGTGGGATTAACAAACCAGAACCAATCCCAAATTACCAAATAAAGATCTTTGCAAATCCAATGGAGGAAACAAATAAGAGTGTGCTTGGTGATTACTTCACCAGTGCTATGGCGCTTACTGAGTCAGGTGTCCATCACGTGCCTACCCGTTACATTCTTCCACCTTCACAACGACCAATGCTCTGTCCAAGCTTTGCCACCGACACCATCAATCTTCCTGTCATTGATCTTTCCTTCTTACACGATCCTTTGCTTAGGCCCCGTGTTATCCATGAGATTGAAATGGCTTGCAAGGGATTTGGATTTTTTCAGGTAACACACTAACACTCATGTTTTTGGCTACATACACACACACACACTACACATGTCTCATGTCTGCTTAGGTAAGACAAAATTACAAGTAATGTAGCTCAAACTCATGCATTATTACCTATATCTAAATGAATAAGGTGTTGATGTGTCATATACATGTGTCTCTACACTACACATTAAATTCAGTCACTAGGACTAGTCTGGAATCTACTTATACCATCTACCAATCACGCCTGATTTATGACTTTATATCATATCATACTGTAAAAAAGTCACTTATCAAAACTAATAGAAAAAAATAAAGTCCTTAGTTCCTGTTATTATTGTTGAGAATAAAAGAAAACAGAAAGATGCTTTATATTTCATTCTTTATGCAAATGTCATGTATCTTGGTTTCATTAAACCACACTACAGATTATAAACTTACTTTCTCTACAGATTATAAACCATGGAATATCAACAACCGTGGTGAAAGATGCGTTAGATGCAGCAACAAGGTTCTTTGACTTACCTGTCGACGAGAAGATGCTTCTGGTTTCCGATGATTTTCACAAGCCAGTAAGATACGGCACCAGCATCAACCATACAACTGACAAAGTCCATTACTGGAGAGACTTCATCAAACATTACTCTCATCCTCTCTCAAAATGGATCAATCTCTGGCCATCAAACCCTCCATGCTACAAGTAAGTATACACATATCTACGCCTAAACTCACTATCTGAACATCAAACAAAAACTTGTTCTTATCCTTTTCTTTGCCACAGGGAAAAAATGGGGAGATACGCAGAAGCAACACATGTGCTACATAAGCAACTAATCGAAGCTATCTCAGAGAGTCTAGGACTGGATAAAAACTACTTACAAGAAGAGATAGAAGAAGGCTCGCAAGTCATGGCGGTTAACTGTTATCCAGCATGTCCTGAACCAGAACTTGCCTTGGGAATGCCACCACACTCTGACTTTAGCTCGTTGACCATCTTGCTCCAGAGTAGCCAGGGGCTTCAGATAATGGACTGCAACAACAACAACTGGGTTTGTGTGCCGTATATCGAAGATGCTCTGATAGTCCAGCTTGGAGATCAGATGGAAGTGATGAGCAATGGTATATACAAGAGTGTTGTTCATAGAGTAACGGTGAACAGAGATATCAAGCGTCTCTCTTTTGCGAGCCTTCACAGTTTACCAATGGACATGAAAATAAGTCCAGCACCTAAGCTCGTAGATGGAGATAAACCAGCTGCTTATGGAGAATTCAGTTTCAAAGATTTTCTTGATTATATTTCTAGCAACGATCTTACACAACGAAGATTCATTGATACACTCAAGAAGAACAATTTATGAAGATGTTTTTGTTCATTAATATAATGACATATAGTCACTATGGCAATCACATAACAACATGAGTAATTTTAAATTTCTTGTGAGGGGGTGAATTTGAGAAGAAACTATTATATTTGGACGAAATCAGAACTACTGATATAATATGGGGTCGTTATAGATATTAAAGGAAAATTAAGACAGAATAAAAAAACAATTAATACGTGGCAAGAGGGAATTACGGAAAAGGTCTCTCTGCGTCTTCTTCGCCGTCTCTGTGCTTCCGATTTCCGATTGCTCTTTCCTCTTCCTCGTCGCTTTGCTTCTTCTCAGGGAAGCGAAGAACACTGAATAATGACAGAGGAAGAGGTAGCGATGGAAATCGAAGCTGTAGAAGCAGTTTATGGTGAAGAGTGCGTCATATTGGAAACATACCCTCCTCATCTTCACCTCCACATCAAGCCCCGTACCGCCGAGATCTCTTCTCAGCAGGTTTTTCTCCGTATTTGATGCTATTTATCTTCTTCGGAATCTGGAATTGCGTTCTGTTTGTTTGCTAAACTCCAAACTATCGGCGAAGATGAGAAAAATCCGGACTTTAAGAATTGAGCTAGAAATCTTAGAAATTGGGCTTTGTTGATGGATTTGGCTATCGTGGAATCTTTAATTGGGATTAGAGAAACCTTACTAGTTTCAATTTTTAGAAATTGAAAGCTTTTATGCAGAAACTGGTTATGTATTTTCTCAAAACTGAGTTCTTATGTAGCAAGAGCTGAGTGATACTCTGATAACTTAATTGATTACGATTGATTTTTACAATCTATTTGTTTGCTATTTGATGACATTGTGGTAATGCTCACACTAGTTTTGCTCTGCAGTTTGTGGAAGCCGTTGTGAGAATAAAGGCAGGTTCCAAGGTAAATTTTGGTTTCAGTGTCATTATCCTAGAAGCTTATCCCAGAGACTGAATCTAGCTATCTTATTAAGCTCAAAATATCTTCCTTTGTTGTAACAGTATCCAGACGAGCCTCCTCAAATTAGCCTGCTTGAATCTAAGGGTCTTGATGAGCAAAGGCAGAAGCATCTGATGGGCATTGTGAAACAGAAAGCTTCTGAACTTTCATCTTCTCTAATGCTTGTAGAACTCTGTGAGGTAACATCTCTTTAGATTTTCTTGAACTTTGCGTATGTGTATGTGTAGATAACTAGATATACATATGCAATTTCTTGAATTAAGATTGGAGTCTCATGTAGTGTGGCAAACATGTATGTTTCTAGGAAGCAGTAGAGAGGCTGACGATTATGAATCATCCGGATGGAGATTGTCCAATGTGTTTGTATCCGTTATTCCCTGAGGATGGCGGGAGTAAACAAATGCCGTTTATGAAGCTCATGTCTTGCTTTCATTGTTTCCACTGGTAAAAGAACCTTACAATCCTCTGTTCTCTCTTATTTCGGGAATGTGGTGTCTAATTGTTCTTCATTGATTTCAAGTGATCAGTGAGTGCATCATTAGGTGGTGGAATTGGCTTCATACGCAGAAAGAAGCTGATTCGAAATCTGGTGACACTTTACGTCAGCACAGAGAAACAAGTGATCAAGAAGGTTCGTCTGATAACTGTCTTATTTTTAGGGAAATTTGAAAAGATACTCTAAATGGAATAACTTATTGCAGATAAAAGCTTGGGGAACTGTCCAGTGTGCCGGAAAGTGTTTCATGCAAGTGATATTGAACATGTTCTCAACTTAGTCGGTGATGCTCAATCATCTCAACAGGTGAGTGAAGTCATCAACTTCGGATTCATTCTTTTACCTTGCACTGATTCATCATCCATCAATATTCAGCTTTAAATTCACCTTTATTGATAACAGGACTCTAGTTTGGTACAAGGTGAGAGGCAAGACCCGCTGATTCAGTCAGATTCAGAGAAGATAAGAAGGGAGCGGTTTGAGGCTATTTTAAAGACGCAGGAAGAAAAAGGAGGTTTGGTTCAACCGAAGAAAAACATATCGGTTGTTCCCGGTATGTATCTTCCTCCACCAGCTTCTCCATCATCAAATGAAGAAGAAGCTAGTCAAAGTCAAGAACAAGAACCCAAAGAAGCTGACACAGAGACAAACTCTAGTAGCTCCACCAACAGGAGAGGCCGAGGCAGAGGCAGAGGTCGAGGTCGTGGCCGGGGACCTGACGTTGACAGACGGAAGCAGAATTCACAAGATCCAAGAAAACCGACGAAGCAATGGGTGCCGAGAAGTTGACAAAAAAAAACTAATGTATTATTGAAATCTCGAGAGAGACATCAAAACTCAGACTCAAAACATAAGAGTGTATACTTCATAAAAATAAGATATTCAGCCAAAAATCGTTCCTTTTACGACTTTGTAAATGCATGTGGAGCTTTCTTTGTTCTTTGTTTTACAAAAACACAAACGCCATGTGAGAAGAAAGTGAGAAACCTCCCTTCATTACAAACAGAAGATACAAAACGTCACATGGTTGGGCCTCAACAATGATTTTGGGCTTGGGCTGAATAGCTTATTAAAATGGTCATAACACATAGCTTAACCGGTTTATGATCAGAGTAAGAAATTATTAATTCCAAACATATTAGCTTAACCGGTTTGTAGTGATCCTAAACTGAATTTTCAGTAGTGTAAATCGCCGGCGATACTGCTCATTTGTCCGATGTCCTCTCCGTCTGCGGTTGCCGATCTCTTGGCCGCGCTCGCTTACCGGCTTCAAAGCGGAAATGTAGTTCTCGAAGAAGAACTACAGGAGACTTCCTCATCTATGGGACTTGCTATCTCAGAGCTTAACCGATCTCTGACTCTGGACATGGGCGGCGAGGATTCCGGGGTCAGGGTTTTGGACGCGGCGACATCTCTAATGTGCTTCAAGGCACCTCAGGTTAGTATATTTCTACTTCTGCAACTAAAGTTTCGATTTTGCTGTATTTCGGGTTTCTTACTTGTGCGCCTTTCAGGTTTTTGATTCGGCGATTGAGTATCTGGTGAAGACAATTGTCTGCGTCTTATCATCTTCAATCAGTTTTAGGGTAATGAAGTATCACAACGAAGACACATTACAGTATATGAGCTCGAATCTACCTGGGTGCTCTGATGAATTGATCCAAGTCTCTAAAGAGATCATTGATAAATTGGGGGCAAACGGTGGGTGTTGATTTAAGCTTTCCTTAGTACTATTCTTAAGCTTTTAAAATCTTTCCTGATTTTTGGAACTGTTGTTTGTAGGAAAATTGGCTACAATGTTGTTCCAAGCTGTTGTGAGATCGGCAGCTTCAACATCATGCAGCGTTATCGCTCCTAGAAAGAAGTCAATGGATGGAAGAAATAGGGCCTGTGTCTCTAAACTTGTTACTTGCTTACCGAGAGTATCATCTATAGAGAACCACGAAATACCACTGAGGTTTGACCTCTTGCACTGTATTCTAGTCCAAGCTATGTTAGTCGATAGAACTTGTGAAACTGAAGCCACAGCTTCTGCCATGTTTGCTCTCTTGTTTCAGAGAAAGGTAGACCGGTCTGACAATTTTTAATGGTCAGGATCCTGTTCTGGTATGAAGATCCATTGTCTTTGAAAGAAGATGTTTCCAGAATCTTGAAATATGTGTGGTGAGGCCTTTCCTTTGTCTAAACAAGGAGCTCTTCGAGAGGGCAGAGTGGCGCGACATCGTGATCTGCTTAGCGCTTTCCACCTTCAATGTTTATCAACACTAGAGCCCTCTTACATAAGTGGTTTTGCTTACGTGAGTTCCAATCCAATCCGTGTCATGAAAATCTACAACAATATACGCATTTAACCTTATGGTGTGTCATCTCTAGCTTTCCATCTATATTGCTTTCTGACGCAGTTTCGTTCTTGACACCAGGGGACTTGCTTCGGTCCATGAGTTTCTTGCCGGTTTGATCTCTGCAATAGTTTACATCATTTCAAGACCAGTGTGGTTGGGTATACCAATGGAACTAGCTTCCTTGTTGCCATTCTCTCTGATGCATACTTTCCTTTCCAGTGTCAATTTCTGAGAATCTTGGCTGGTCCTCTCACCTCCAAGTCACTAGTGATGTTAGCTCATACTATCAGTAAACCAATTACTGTTCCTGAGCAACAACGTTGGAACACTAATTGCAAGCCTACTCCAATGAAGTTTCAAGCATTAGATGATAAAACCGAGTGGTAACTTTACATGAAAATGAAACTTGATTCCCACATGTTTGATCTTTATATATACATACGTCCGTGTGTATGGTTTTTGAATGATGTTGTATCTTCTTTCAGGGCTTTGGCTATTAACTTCCCGGATTGGTTTTATTTTGCTTCTGCTATGCTCTTCTCAGAAGGAAACTCGTTAGAACATATCCACCGTACAAACACTTCACAAGTTGCTGGCAGTAGACAAGGAAGTGATGTTGAAGGTATCTCCATTGCTGCGGCAACATATCTTGCTTGGATTCTGTACCCTGTAAGTGGAGCCATCCAAGAATCACTAACCAAGTCTCTCATTAGCGTCTCAGAGATATGCACCAGAAAAAGTTGCGGCTCAGAAGCAAATCGTAGTGAGACTATAACTGGCAAGAGAAAGAAACCAGATAGACTCAAAGTAAACGTTTCCAGTACTGTGGAAGATCTGGTCAGAGAATTTCACAAGAACATCACCAGTTCGGTTTCTTATGAATTGGATTCTCAGAAAAAGCTTCCATCTTTCATCTCTGGCCTCCAAAACAATTTGTTGGTAAGAAGAGTTGTGGTTGGTGTACTGATTGGCTCTCCATATTCAGTAGCAGATGAGCAGTATGAGGTGGTACTGCACTACGCTGCAACTGGGAACATCCTTACCATTAAGAAACGGCGAACTTCCGGATTCATACAAGCAAAGGGAACCTCTAAAGTATCTGCTTTGTTGTCGAATGAAATCACCAAGGAGGAGGCTGTTGAAGGGACACGTCTTGTTTTCAACTTAACCGACACTTTGGAGAGTATGTGTGTATCAAGTTTTGAAGCTGAAGAGGACGCCGAGGAGTTTATCAACCGGTTTAAGCTGAAATCGAGCAAGTATTTGGTGAAATGCATTGACAGATTGATTCAACTTCACTGTGAAGAAGATGGAGATTCAATACTAAGTGACTTGAATACCAGACTGCTACAGTGGACATTAAAAGGACGAGAAGATCCACAGTTTAACGAAGATCTTGATAATATCGCTGCTAAACTGGCCTTCATATTCTCGCCTGTGTAACTGCCACCCTGCAGCCGGACTTGTGTCATATTTGATGGTACAGATGTTGATCGTGACTGCAACATTTAAATGTGAAAACTAGTCTCATAATGAACAATAAATCGATGTTGTATGTATATTTAGATAAATCGCCTGGGATACAAAAACAAACATGATTATTGGAGTAATTTGGTCATTTTAAAAACAGACAATTATTCAAACATTTAATTAGACATGAAAGCTAAACCATAGATAATAGTAGGTCATTTCAAATGTGTTTCTTTGATCATTTTCTTTGACCATCATAACACATCATAACATATTTACTTTTAACCCTGTACATTTCAGCTCCACAACTGAAATCAATTGATTCGCCTGGATTGGACCAGAGGAATTGGAGGATTCAAAGGTGAGCCTCGCATCTACTTGATGCCTTGTGAAATGCTTTTGATTCCACTAAAACACTAAGCAAAACACTAAGCTTCATCTTTTTTGTTTATATCCATTGTGTGAATCTTTTATCCTCACGCAGCAACTAGGGATAAAGACAAGAGGGGACATGGGAGGGATTCTGTCTATTGGGTTTTGGGAGAGACAAAAGGAGAGAAGAAGATGCAGAGAAGATTCATAGAAAACCCAGATCATGTGGCTTCACTATCAGACAAGAAGTGAAGAGCTGTCAGATGCGAACTCAACAGAGAAAAATCCGATGGTGACAGACCCCACACACACCCACTTGGAGTTGCAGATCATCATATAATAGCAGCTAGTAAATATTACAGCAGAGATTATTACCCCATCACCAGTTTACATTATTCTGATATCAACAAAAATTATATTCAACACTTTCCTGGAACAACGATGCTAAAAGCGATGATTAAGGAACAAAAAAACAACAGGCAAGTACAACACACTTCAATTTTAGTAAGAACTGAAGCTTTGTACTGTAAGAAGAACCTCTTTCTATAATTGTAGGATATATGTATATATAGTACACAACACAAGGTCCTACTTGATAGAGTAGGAACGAGTGCACACCGTTTCAAGAGACTCCATGAACAAAGCAGAGAAACTTGTTAACGCTTGGAACACACCAGGCAAACCCGTCTGCAGATTATTGAGCGTCATGGCTCTTGTCACTTCTATTGCCTTTGAATGTTTCATCATCTCTTCCTCTACTCTCCTTTGACAACCAGCAAGCTCCGATTTCTTATCGCTTAGCGGGTCTCGAGCATCTAACATGTGTTGGTTGTCGGGTCCTGAATCCGGTAAACCGACACCGACC